CCCCAAAACCCCAAAACCCCAAAACCCCAAAACCCCTAAATTTGTAAATATTTTTGAAAATATGTAAGTAGTCAGTCTCCCTTTGCATAATCTCTTCCCTACTATCCATAACTTATGAAACGCTTTAACTCATGTTAGCCAGAATCTTGATCTATGAGCTACCTAGACTTCATCGGTAAGGCATCTCTCTGATAATATTAGACGAGGCAGATCTGATGAACCTGATGGACATCAGCATCTACCTAGTCTATCACTCCAAGCACGTTAAGATAAAGATCAGAAGGGAAGAAGAGAGCCACCTCATCATCTCTGAGTACGTCAAGGATGAGTTCCAACTTGATGGAGATTTCAAAATGCATGACAAAACTGGCTGCCAGATTTTCAAGGAGGACTTCTATCATCTCCAGAACGAAGACTGCATTTACCTGTCCCAAGGTAAAGATTTTAACTACATCACTCTACTCTTGGTCTACAAGAAGGTAAAGCTTCCTATGAAATTTCTAGGTCAAATAAGCTAGGTGAGGGAGGCTTCGGCCATGTATATCTCCTCAGGAACAAGCTGAATGGTGAAGAAATCGCTGCAAAATTTGTGGATCATGGTAAGCTTCTCAGTTGAAAATGGTTCCTTTCAAGACCAATATTATTGAAGTTACTTGGCCTAATCGAGTACATGTTTAACACTTCACTCTTACAGAGTGCCTAAGCAGAGCAAATACAATTGAGAAAGCTCTAAAGGAGGCAAGGTAGGTTGAGCATTCATAAATCTAGACATTTGACAAACCTGAAGCATAAGAACATCATTAATCTCCAAACTGTGTTCATCTACAAAAGAGAAATCATCATGTTCACCGAGTATATAGCAGGAGGCGAACTTAAGGAATATCTTTTTAAGAAAAGTAAGCCATTTGCGGAATTCGAAGCCAAAAAAATTATGCAAGTGCTAGTCTCAGCTATTGATTACATCCATCAGAACAATGTAGTCCATCGGGATCTCAAGCTAGAAAATATCCTGTTGACAGAATCCTCTAATCCTTATAGTCTGAAGCTTATTGATTTTGGAATTTCAGGAGTGCTTTCAAGAGCTGGAGGTGAAATCATCCATGCAGGAACTTTGGCATATTCGCCTCCTGAAATAGTCTCCAAGACAGATCTGTCTTCAAACCAAAAGATAGATGTGTGGTCACTAGGTGTGATACTCTATGTTCTTGTGACTAAAAGGTTCCCCTTCTATGGCCAAAATGAGTCTGAAATCTTGATAAGTATATTAAAAGATGACTTAGAATTCCCGATTTCAGTACCTTTAAGCATTGAGCTCAAAAATTTACTGACAAAAATGCTAGATAAGGACCCAAAGAAGCGTATCTCAATGGCTGATGTACAATGCCACTCATGGATGGATAATGAGAAGAATAAGGCTATGAAATTTTACAACAAATAACTTCCAAAGCCGAGGGTATGCCCCTCTTCATGCAAGTAATTGTCTCATCTTCTTAATCTATAGGTCAATTCAAGAAACATAAAAAGTCATCTGAAAGAGCATCTAGTAAGAATTCTCTCAATCGTCTTCCTGGAAAGAAACGTCAGGCTTCTGGCTTTAGCCCATGTGGGAGTCCTTTAGATAATCAGGGAGGTTTCTCACCAGAAGTAATACCAGTTAGTTTGAGGCGTAATGATGCTGAAAATGCCAAAACTCCAGAGAATTTCGGAGATTATGCGTCTAAAGATGAAAAGCGAGACTCTCTCTACGTAATAGACCCGTCCAGCTCCAGTAAGATAAAGAAGCGAAGCATGCATGTTCACTTAAAATAAGGTAGTTAATACATGAATCTTATAGAGGGATTTTGAAGATGAGCGCAAGAAGGCACGCAATAAAATGACTCCAATTGATGGCGAAGATCCATTAGACCCCAAAGAGAAAGGTAGCAAGAAGATTGTATCCATTTCATTACAGGAAAATGGATACATTGAGGAAGAAAGTTCTGGTGAATCTAGTGATGGAGAGGTCAAGATCCCTAATCTAGACCTCAAGTTTGATTCCTCAACGTTTAAACAGAAACGAAAGAAGTCTAAACAATTCTCTAAGACTGGTAAGAGGTATAAGTCTCCTCAGGCCAAGTCTATATATCGACTGGAAAGGCGATACTGCTTTAATGAGAAGAGGCTCAAGGAAATTCTAATGAAGCTACACTTACCATTGTCATTTCGGAACCTGAGAATTTTGAAAGAGCATGCTGCTTCTAGAAAAGAGGAGGTAATAGATCTAGCCCCAGCTTTCAGCATGATTCGGAAGGGCATGCCGAAACATTTGAGAAAAATGAATGTCATCAATAGCAAGGGGTTAAAGTAGCATTTTTACTACGGATAGCTCAAGAAGAGAGAAATCCATTGGAGAGTCCAAACAAATGCCTAGAATCAGAGGAGCTTCCAAGGATGATTTTGACTATGATTCGGATCACATCCAAGAGAGGAGGCTATAGTCAGTCATAGCAAGTAAGAGAGTCTTGGCTTATCCATTCTAGTTGTTTCTCTTATGACATTTAATTATAGATCAAAATTGAGTAACTCATATCAAAAGTTACGAAAAGGAAAGCTATTTGTATTCAAAGATACATTTCTAAAACTCAACAAGAGTTTGGACAAAACCCGAGGGACGAAGTACAACGGGTTCAGAGAGGTCTCGTCAGACATGGCAACGATATCCCCTCAGCACAAGAAGTTATACAGCATCGGGAAGATCTCATTCAATTAAGAGTAGCGGTAATTTATCGAATTTTAGAAGAAGTTTCAGCTAGGAAAATCTTAGTTGGGGTTTTGGGGTTTTGGGGTTTTGGGGTTTTGGGGTTTTGGGGTTTTGGGG